GGAGAGTCGGGGGGGGGGGGATTTAGAATACAATGGAAAGATCCTGCCACCCCTCCGGCATGACTCTAGAGGGAAGGAGTTTTAACTTTAAACCCCTTCTCTCTTTGCTTCCCCCCCACCCTGCCTTGGCAGGCCGGCTGGGGAAGGGAAGGGGAGGCTTTTGAAAGTGCCCCCCCTTTTGCTTCCCCTTCTGACACACTTCAGGTGATGTCAGGGGGCATGGCATATGCTAATGATTATCCTAATCGCATGTATGCTAATAAGCTCGTGCACCTCTTTTTCTACGAAATGACGCCTGAGCAAAAGGAATGCAGGGAGGACTGATCAGCAAATAATGTGATAAAGTCCTTCTAGGAACATGCTATTTGAGAATACAAGTGAGAGTTTGTCTTTTCTTTGCATACAACAGTCCCTGAATGACGAGAAGTAGCATATTGGGGAGAGTTCTATCCTGTAATGGGAAGGAATCTCTGGGTTCCCTTACATCTCTTGAGGAGGCAGTACAAGCTTTTTGGTTATGTCCTTGGGATGAGGGATCACTTCCAGATCTGTTCTGTCTAGAGGCATGGAAGCAGGCTATAGCTAAGCTCTCAAGAGCTCAAACTTCACCTACTAGGAACCTTTAGTTCCTTCTTTCTTTGCTTTTCTTCTCAGCTTTTCCTCGTGCTTCCATTTATTGTCACTTCCCAATGCATATTAGACAGGACTTGGGCCCTTCATGGTTAGTATGGGAGTGGAGTGTTTTCTGGGGAGACAGAAGAGCTTCATGTCCAAATGGTCAATAACCCAGCAACATTTTCACGCAATTTCCTGCAATTTCACACAATTTCTCTTCCCATTGGAAAAAAGGGCATCAAGTGGAAGTTAGCCAGGGCTATCACAGGCTGAAGGGAGCAATATCTGGCATTTAGAGATGGGTGGTTCTTCTAGCTAGGTAGAGAGTGCCCAGCTTTGCCTGGAAAGTGGGAAGGGGATGTTCTACATTCCATGTGCTCTAAGCATCTCTCTTTTCTGCCCTCCCATTGCTTGTAGAGGGCATAAGTGGCGGGTAATTCATTCGGTCACTGATTGCAGCACTGCCTGGAAGGCAGGTCTTCATTTTCCTACTCCCCTCCTAAGGAGCAGGGGCCTGAGCCTCGTTAGCCTGAGCACTTATGGAAAAAAACAAAAAGGGAGTAAAAAAATTATACCAGTTTGCCAGGGCTCTGATGGTGTTATTCACTAACACAGAACTGTGCATTTTTCATAGAGAATTCTATAGCAGGACTCCACTTTTGTCACCAAGGTTAATTCTGCTTCTTCACTGGTAACAGGAAATGCTTCAAACATCATTCTAGGCCAGTGATGGCGAACCTTTTAGAGACCACGTGCCCAAACTGCGACCCAAAACCCACTTATTTATCGAAAAGTGCCAACACGGCAATTTAACCTGAATACTGAGGTTTTACTTTAGAAAAAACCACTCATACATTAACTTAAGATGATCCAAACAAAGTAAGGAAAGCAATCCCACTGGCTTTCATTTACTTAAAATTATTTGGCAGAAAATTCGACACTTTAATGATGGTCTGGTCCTGGCTGGGGCGATGGCGTGCACGCCCACAGAGAGGGCTCTGAGTGCCACCTCTGGCACCCGTGCCATAGGTTCGCCACCACTGTTCTAGGCTCTTACTAAAGTTAGGCCAGTTTCTGGCGGGTCTAGGAAGCAATTTGGAATAGATCTGGGAAAGAAGCAAAAACTCAAGTGTCCACCTTCTTCTCCCCCATCAATCAATTTCCCTCATCACAAAAAAAAAGAAAAGAAAAGAAGAAGAAAACATAGGCTTGGATCCAACGATGCATGAATGAAAAGGAAAATGTACAGCAGAAGGTCTGCTTCTGCAAACCATTGCTCTGGGGCTACACATAGTGCTTCAGTATAATTTTAACAAAATAGGAATGCATATATGGAGCAATAGAATATGAAGTAGAGAGTCTGCATGGTTTGACTTATTTCTGAAATTGTGTCAGAAGAAATTCTAGTGCTATATCTTATGCACTGCAGAAAAGATAGTAGGGACAGTAGTAGCAGTGCACTCGTTTTCACTTAGTGTTAGCAGGCAGTGAGGAAAGATTTAAGCACTTCCATATCTGCTGTTGTGCACCTAAAAATCTTCCCTATTCTACGACTTAACTCTTCAGTTGTCATCTGTGAAATCACTCAAATCTGTGTAGGCATTAACAACAAACAGAGTGTTGAACAAAATTTGATAATTTAGCTCTGGTTGTACAAAGATTTGTTTTAATAATGCGTTGGAGTTCCTCTTGTGTTCTCTTCTAATGGGATCTTCTTTCCTCTTTGTAGGGTAGAAATCTAGTGACAGGGGAGCTTGGTTTCTTTCCAAGTGATGCAGTAAAACCTTGTCCATGTGTAAGTAGAATTGCATAACTGTGTTTGTCAATGTAATTGTTTTTACAAAAATGTTTGCAGTGAGCTTGCCTAGTTCTTGCCAAGATTTTTTATTAATCCTGCCTAGTGGGATTTATATTATTTTTTTTTTGTGTTGCCATTCTGCGTACAATGTTATTTGAAAGTGTAACAATGTTATGTGTTTGGTTATTGGGTTTAAAATTTGAAGTCTAACAGAAACCTGCATAAGAGATGGATTTAACTCATGAGAATTTAATAAGTTAAATTGTCTAACTAGTTTTCAGATAAAATGCACTTAAAGACTGCAACAAATGAGTTGTGCAATAAAGCTGCTGATTTCTGAACAGTGAGGGGAGCCTGCTTCCTTTCCTAATATATTCCCCAGTCACCCTGGGTTATAGAGAGAGATTAGACCATAATAATGGGTTCAGAAATGCACCTGTGAAAACTATAAAAAGCTATAAAATTGAAGTGCTCAGCCTATTTTATCATATGCCTACGTGCCCTGACTTTCTTCCCCTTCTTCCATCACAAAGGTATGCATAATCCCAGAATATTTGAAATTGCTCACAAGAAAATTAGTTTGCAGTGTATGCTTCTATAATTTTGAATGCAAGCAAAGCTGTGTGAATAGCTGATCTTGTAAAAAGATCATACAATCAGCCAGTTGGATAGGGACTTGAAAAGTCAGTGGGTGGCTTGCCCTCCACAATAACTCAAAAAATTGTCTACCATTATTGCCCTGTGCCTCATGAAATATAGAGACAGGGATTATGCCACAGAAAGATTTTTACGAATAGTTGCATCCTACTATAGAAAGATTCTTATGAATATTTGCATGTGACTTGAGTGAGAGAGCCAAGCTGCATGTTGCAAGGGAAAGTTTAACAACAAACTCCCAAGCATTGAACCAATCTATTTGGGAGTAGTTGCTTCTTAGTATGCTAGGGATGAATTGATCAGATTCAAAGGATAAATAACATTTATCAATCAGGTTCACTAAGGGAATCTGTACTGGAGAGAAAATTAAAATACCCCATATTCAGTTCTTGGGTGCACTTAGTGAGGTTTTTTGCTTTCATGTCTGTCCTGGGAAAAGTGCTCTGCAGTAATAAATGAATCTAACCACCATTCTAATGTATAAATAGTCAGTTTGTAACTAATAGCGGCTGCGACTTTTGCAGCTCTTTTGCCCCTTCTAAAGTTGATGCAGAAGGCTTCAGTGGTTCCTGATGAGGAAAATGCACAAAAACCATGTGTCAGTTGTCATGTGTGACAATTGTACATCTTTTTTTTTTTTTTGCTGAAACCCCATAACTCATCTGAAAAGGGTTAAAGGCAATGCCATAGTTTCAGGGCAGTATTTTGGCCTTTTGTAAAATGTATGTTGGTGTTAGCAGGAATTTTTTGGAATGAGGTGGATTGCAAAACTTGCATGAATTTAGAAGTATGAATAAACATCAATTCTGGAATATTAGAGGCAAAGTATTACTAGAAAGATAAATTGATACTTCACCATTTGGAAGGGCAAAATATAAAGACTCTGTTATGAAAAATGATACAGTTGGAGACACTGAAACATCTATCAAATCTTCAAGGCACCATAATGTTTACTATTATTATTAAATAACAGCCTCTACAACTTGCCCATATAAAAGTGCCCAGAAACAGCATAAAATACATATATCAAAAGACACAAAGAGTAAATACTGAATGAAAAACGGCTGGGCTCTGGAATATCTATAGTTCAGTGTTTTCTCAAATATAAGCTTTTTCTCTTTCCTCAGTATGGCAACAACAGCTTAGAGTCACTGGCTGACTTTCAGCTTCATTGTTATTAGAATTATTTTTAGGTGTCATGTAAAATCTGTCACATTCATTTTCTCAACTATCTTATGATGGTATTATTGTTGCTGTATTAAAAGAGAAAAAAAGGTACAGCTGAAGGCCATCTTGTGTGCTGTTGTTTAGCATCTACACCTTGATTTACCTTGCAATATGTGACACAGTGACACATACCTTTATTTCCTATTATTTGTATGCCCCATGTGTGGAGTTAAGGGGAAGAAGGGTAGAAACGTGTTGCAATTAACTGAGACAGATTCAACTGCCCCTTAATGCAAACTGTACGGTATCTGTTAGGCAGGGGAAGGGGAATAAAACAGGCTGACAGAAGCCGATCTAAATGGCACAGGATCTTCTATTCTAAAAGAGGTGGGTGTTGGCAAAGCAGTGGTTCTGCTCATGCCCGGCTTAAAATGTGTAAGGCAAATCTGTAAGACTGTGGGTGTCAGGGAACCACGGCTGATGAGGAACTGCTCCCATATACACACCTTGCCTGAAAATATATATGCTCTACTGTAATTAGCCCCAGTTCACTGACATGAATGTTATTTATTACACTTAATAAGTTCCAGTTCATTGACATGCATTTTACTGATTATATTTATATCCAACTTTGCTCCCATCGTGGAACTCAAGGTGGCATACTTAGGGTTCCGCCAAGGAGTCTCGTCCAGGGACTAGATAAAGCCCTACCAGCTTGGGTTTTTATCTTGTGCCTTTCAGCTATACACTAAGACCTACATGGGGGGGGGGGAATGCTACTTGTATAGGAGTCCTAGGAGAGGCACTTTCAGCCCCAATGTACTTGTGATATCAGGAAAGCACAGTCCTTCCCACGGGGCAGTCTCCCCTTGGTGCTTGGGAAGGCTTTTTTGTGTGGGAGCTGTCGTAAGTTGCAGCACAGTGTCTCATGTGAGTTTGCCTGTTTCCAGAAAATAACAAACACAAAGTTTTGTGTGTTTTTTAACAACAGTAGTTTTGCATCTACCATAACAGCTACTTCCAGCTCTGAATGAATGTTTAACATGGTTTAGGGATGCCAGCCACCATTTGGGACTCCACCAGAATTACAGTTCATCTCCAGACTACAGAGATCAGTTTCCCAGGAGAAAATGAATGCTCTGGAGGGAGGTCACTATGGCACTGTACCCACTGAGATACCTGTCCTCCCCAGGCTCTCTCCCCAAATCTCCAGGAATTTTCCAACCTGGACCTGGCAACTATACTCCCCATCCCCCGCTGGTAGCCAGGAGGGACTTGGCAACTGTAAACATAGTGCATGTATAAGCACCATTGCCATAATGAAGTGTGTTTTAGCAACTTATTTTTAAAAAGATGTATTGATCCAGTTACTTCAGCGTGCTGTATATTTTTGTGCATATCTTAGAGCAGTTAACACAGTTTATTTGGAAAGCTAGAAATATTTTTCACTTATTTATGTTTTCAAATCATAGGTTCCTAAACCAGTAGACTACTCTTCTCAGCCATGGTGAGTGCCTGAAAGCTGTTTGGGAAGGGAGAAAGTTTAAATAAATAGCTGGAGAGAAAACAGATATCCTGGCATTAACAGCAATCTAATTAGTTGTAGTTTAACCTTTTGAGTCTTTAGCACAAGGCGTTTTGTTGTAATACAGGCAAAAATTATTGAATGTATACACTGTCTAACAATATTTTTGTAGATGTATCAGGCTTCACATGTTGAATATTTGTAATGAGTTGGATCCAACTAGCTTTTCTGCTGGTGAAAAAGGGAGGAGGAGGGGTGCCGTTTACCATCAAAAAGGCTTTCCTGGGTATTATAAGACCTGTATGTGGAATAGGGGCTGTAATCAGGAGGCAAATAAGTCAAGACTGGATGAAAAAGCTGGCTGGACCTAACCCTGTGTATGCATATAAGCTTGTATTCCTGTGGTCATTGAAGTGATCCACTAAAAAGTATGGCTAAAGCCCTGAAGTCTAAGAGCCTTATGCTGAAATCTGAGAGCCTCCACAATCTGCATGAGACCCAGACCACACTGGCTTTCCCTGCCACCACACAGCAACTGTGGGGAAAGTGCTTTTAAAAATTTATGGGTAGCCCTTCCCCTCCACCCCCATGCCACAGTACCAAGCTGAATCATGATCCCACAGAGTTTTGAGGGGACATTTCCTGCTGCTGTTGTGGGGAAAGTGAGTCGGGTCTAGGAGATCCAGACCTGATTCGTTAAAATGTCGTTTGGCCCACAGAAATGAAAGAAAGAGAAAGTTTCCAACCCCTGACACTTGCTTCCTCCTTTCCCATCAGACCACCTCTCCCACATCCCAGCTCATGATTTCCAGTCACCCCCTTTCTCTGTGTACAATAAGTCTGCATTCTCTTTGCACATTCTCTGTTCTTTCAATCTGCGGGTGAAAGACTTTGGGAGGGGGATGGGATGTGGCTATGTGTCTCTTGACCTTTAGCCATGTTAAGGGCTTCTTTTTAAGAGCTCTGTTCCTGTTGACCTCCTTAAACTACACAGCTGTCGGTGAAATCGCACTCCAGCCTTCCAGGATGTTGTAAGAATGATTTGTGATATTGGTAAAATTAGAAATTGAAAGTATTCCACAAAAAAGTTTAAGCATTCCTAGTCTCATCTAACAGGCAAGGTACCACTGCTCCAATTGATTACAGAAAAGCAGAAATACCCTTGCTATATTAGAAGCAGATTGCGTGCAACATGATTCTTGCCTGCTGTCCCTTGTTGGAATCTTGATTCCATCATGTACAGTAACTCCAGACAGCGACTACTAGATCTGATCTAGATAATGTGTGCAAACAAACCCAGTGCATTTGCTTGATAGTGGACCGTCAAATGCACTTCTCAGCACTGGCTTTAGGTTTTGGTAGATGGTAACCAACAGACTGGAATGGGGTTTGTTTGCTCATCCACATCCAGGTATCATCTAGTAGTCTCTGTCCGAGGTTACTGTACGGGATTATTAGAGGTGTAAGGATGGTTGCATTTGTATAAATGACTGGTGGATTTCACAGTCACAGTCAACAAATATGCAGTGGATTGCACACTACTAACAACATGACACGCCCCCTCCCCCGATTCATAAGCTGCTTTACCAAACAGGTTATTATCATAATAATGTTGGTAACTAATATTCAGAAAAAAGAAAACAAAATATAACTGCCATACTTTTCCCTGGCACTTGTCCTCCATGTTTGTCTTTATAGAAAGTGTGGTTAATATTTATCTCACTTCATTGTAGGTATGCAGGAGCAATGGAAAGATTGCAAGCAGAGACTGAACTTATTAACCGGATAAATAGCACTTACCTAGTGCGGTATAGGACTAAAGAGTCAGGAGAATACGCCATTAGCATTAAGTAAGTGAAATGTAAATTTCTCCCCAGATAGATTTCATAATTGTTGAGCTTTATGTGAGAACTTGCATATGAAACATTTCAAACGTCAGTTTTGCTTACATATTGAAAATATACATTCTATCTGTTAATTTGCTTATTGTGTAGTCAGCTGGGGCACTTTTGTTCTTTTTGAAAACATTGTACTGAAATCCAGCAGAAATTGGTTTTTTTTCATGGATCATTCCCTGACTGTGCAGGGATGCAACTTTTCTTGCATCTAGGCACTGAGCTTTTATATTTTGTCCTAGACTAAAGTGCTACATGTTCAGAACCAGGGTGTATATTCTCTACCATTTTCATGATGTTCCTATGCTTTCCTTTTCTTTGAAGAGGGGAAATATAGTTCATGCATGCCCTTTCCCTCTTCTGCCAGAGATCTGTTTGAGAAAGGAGTGGGTGGGATAGAAGATCCATAAGTGTTTAGTGCATTAATGGGTCTGTGACTTGAGGCACAAATGACTTTATGCTAGTTAGCATACGTTGATGTATTGGTCCATTTGCATTTTAACTAGAAAATGTTTAGAATTGATTTGGCTATGAATTGAAGCCAAACAGAATCTTTTCCTGGACTTGAATGTAAATTGGACAAGCTGTAAAGTGTCTAACAGAATTTTAATTTTTAAAAAGTTGCTGGTCTGTTTTGTCAATACAAATTATTTAAGGGGATCTTATTTTGTTTCAAAGGTGATTCTCAGCATGAATTTGAATGCAAGCAATAGCATGGGATCCCATAATTAGATCTTGCTGAAAGGCTTTTAAAAATCTGAATTAAGACTGCATCTTCTGCCAGACCATAATAAATGTGTTTTGTTAATTAGGTGTCAACCATGTATTGGCGTGGATATACGTTTTGTCTTAAGAATTTATTCGTGTACGAGTAGGGCATGCCCTCAAGTAATTATTGATCTCTGCTGATTAAAAACACATTTATATTCATAAGTTATTCATTGCCTATAGGTACAATAATGAAGTGAAGCACATCAAGATTTTAACACGAGATGGCTTTTTTCACATTGCAGAAAATAGAAAATTTAAAAGTTTAATGGTAAGCATCAGTTTAGATTTTATTCCCCTTGCCAAATGTGCATCTAGCTACTCATCTAGCCACTTGTATTGATGACTGAGTCTCTGGATCTGTGGAAAAAAATATTATAGCTGCACAGTGGTAGATATGGTCTTGCATTTTCCCATTCTTGCATATGGCAGATGCTTTTACTCAAGATGGTTTCAAACAATTTGCTTATCCTTTAATACACATTAACAATCATTTGTATTCACAATCATGGTGATTAAAGAGGTGATTAATAGGGTGATGAACCTGACTCCAAATCAAGATAAGTGGGATCAGCAAGCAGGTTGTCCAAGGGAAAAAGAACAATGGCAGCTACATAGAATCAAAGATTACCTATTTCTTTACAACACACTTTGAGGTCATCAGGAAGCTTGATTATGTGTTAGAGATAAGCAAATTCCAGCAACTCTGATTTATTTATACTCAGGTTTGATTTATTTACCCTCAGAATGCATGAGGAATACAGGACATGTGTTTGTTCTCTCTCTCTCTCTCTCTCTCTCTCTCTCTCTCTCTCTCTCTCTCATCCAGTCTATCTTGGATTTTTCTCACTATTCATGTTCTTCAGTTTTTTGGTAGTTATCATTGTTGTAATCATGCATTACCTTAGCAAAGGTTTATTTTTGGCATTGTTTTAATAATACAAATGCATATTGACCTATATTTCCAGGTGAGTCTGGAATAATGGCAATGGAAAAAATTGTTGTGTAATTGCATTCTCTTCATACGATTCTGACTCTTCCTCATCCCCTGCCACTGCCAGTCTGCCTTGACTGCAGTCTGTATGCATTAGCAACATAGAAACTTCAGAATTCTGTACAAATACCACTTATGAAGTTTCTGAATGAACCTGTTAAAATTTTCTCCTTAGCTAGGCATGGTGTAATGGTTAGAGTATTGGCCAAAAGTTAGGAGATTGGAGTTTGTTCAAATTTCCAGCCTGCCTTTAAGCTATTTGGGTGACTTTGGGTCCATTATCATCTCTCAGCCTAACTTGCAAGACAGGGTTGCTGTGAAGACAAAGTGGAGAGAGGGGCAAATACTACCCTGAGCTTATCAGAGGAATAGCAGTCTGAAAATGCAATGGACAGCTAGACAATGGCAACATTTACATTACATCCATTTAGGAAGTTATTTGGTCTGGACTATTATTTGCCATTGCTATATGCTTCCCTTGCAGGTCAGTTAATAGTATTGCTGAGTGTGTCCAGCCAATCTCTGAATCTCTTGTGGTGTTTCATGTTTGGCAGTAGAAAGTGGTATCCATAGCTGAGTCTTGGTGTGTACTTGAGAGGTAGCAAAGGCTGTTGCGGTCTGCTGATTTCAGGGAGTTTATTTTCCTGTGAGGGTCAGTGGGTCTTTGTCATCAATAAATATGCTTTGTGCCTGGAGTGAGGACCAGCCCTAAGCTTGGAAACTAACAATGGAAATAGATGAATAAATATAAATCATGTGTGACTTAACATCACATAAGACTCCAAATATTTCTCAAATATGCACCAGTATTCAATACATGAATTCTAACATGGGATTGTTAGAAAACATTGGCACATGGTCTCAGATTTGCCAGGATTTCTTCAGTCCATTGAAATTGTGAACTTAGAATCTGTAAGGTATTTCTTTTGGGAGTGTCCAATGCTAGATATTGCGTTAAAGCTCCAGCCGATTTATTGCAGTTCATGTATTTCATGTATTGAATACTGGTGCACGTTTGAGAAATATTTGGAGTCTTATGTGATGTTAAGTCATACATGATTTATACTAAGCTTGGAAACAGCAGGCTAATTATGATTGAATACAGAAAAAAAATCAAATACAATGCATACCAATAAATAACCATGGAATTCATGGTTGACATGGAAACTAGCAAAAAATAGTGTTTTAAGAGATTAGTTACATTCAAGGAGAATTGGTGATCAGCAGCCATGATAATTTCAAGCAATCCACAGACCATTCATGTCCACAAACAATGTATCTTTGGTAATTAGATGCTGGAATCAACAGGGTATGGGTAAATTTCTTGCACTGTGTATGAATTATTTGTGGGATCTGCATTTCCTGATAATCCTGTTGGATGTGATGAGATGTGTTTTAAAGAGGAAGTACAAGTGACCAAAGAGACCTTTGGTCTTCTTGGTAATGTCTGAAATGGGGAACTGTATGATAACAGAAGTCTAACAGTACAATCCTTAGCAGAGTTACATCCTTCTAAGTTCATTGAACTGAGTGGGCTTACAATTCTGTTTAGGATCACTCTGTAAGCTATTCACCCTGTTTAATATGGAAATTCTCACATCCAGAGTATCCAGAATACTGAATCTTTGGTCTGGTCTAGTAATGCATTTTTATATTTTTAAAATTACTTAATATTTTATCATCTAGTCTGAAGCTTGGCTTGATTGATTGTGGTTTTAGAAACGTAAACATGGCTGAATGGAATGAAAATATTGAATGAATTGCTGATGAGAGAGCAGTTTACAGTAAATGAACTGTCATACTCTCATTTTGAAAAACAAAATGCAGTGATTTTGAAGTACAGAGCCTTTAAATGCTGCGTGTTTTGATCTTTGTATTTGCTATATAATTGTTGTACTTTAGCCTATCTGTTGGCTCCTTCATTGGAATATTTATAAAACCAGGATATGAAGGATATTATTCCTGAGAAAACATGGGTTATCTACATGCATAAGTTTCAGAGGGTAGTGTCAGCGAGCTGCCATTTCCTTGGGACACGTCCCATCCCCCTTCCTTTCTCCCAAAGCCTTATCCTGTTCATGTAGTGCCTCTGTAACTGCCAAGGTCTCCAGCTGGTGTGATGTGGTGTTATGTCTTAATGCTCTGGCTTGTTTAGATTTCCCGTGTGAACTCAACCTGTGTTTATGGAATTGACCATTGCTGTTCTCAGACCGCTTCGCGCCTTTTCTAATCTGTAAACCTGACGAGGGAAATATGTTCATTGGTTTAAACCTGGTTTGAAGTTCCTTTAATACACCTTCCCTGGGTATTGTAGTTATTTCTAACAATCTCTGTATGTTCGTGATCAACCATGCTTTGGAAATAAATCTTTCTTCTTTTTGAACGTAGATCTATTCTCCTGATTTGGGATCTAACAGGTAGTTGTGTTGATCTGCAGTAGAAAAGTTAGATTCGAGTCCAGTGGCGCCTTTGAGATCAGCCAGATTTTCGGGGTATAAACTTTCAAGAGTCAAATCCTCTTGGCGCTCAGAAGCTTATACCCTGAAAATCTTAGTGGTGCTAAGGTACTACTGGACTCAGCATACATAAGTAACTTCTCAGCATACATAAGTAACTTCAGAATATTTCATTCTATTTCTTGCTGTTGTGATCCTGGGTTTTTCCCAGGTTCCTGTGGCTGCAATCTGTAGAACACTTTCCTGGGGTTAAGCTTTATTGACAAATATGGGATTCACTTCTGACTAGACCTGCCTAGGACTGTTCCCTGTATCTCTGAGGAACTGACGCTACCCCTCCTGCCACTGGTATGACCACTTATTATGATAGTAATTGACCCCCATCATTGTTATTGATTTCTGAATCATCCCTTGGACATGTAAACAAATGAGAGGAAAAATGATTATGTAAACTGAGAGGGAGGGACTCTGGTTCCATTATCATTTTGATAACAACATAACATAAGAACATAAGCGAAGCCAATGTTGGATCAGGTCAATGGCCCATCTAGTCCAACACTCTGTCAGACAGTGGCCAAAAATACCAGGTGCCATCAGGAGGTCCAGCAGTGGGGTCAGGACACTAGAAGCCCTCCCACTGTTGCCCCCCCCCAAGCACCAAGAATACAGTGCATCACCTGCCCCAACCAGTGAGTTCCTATCTTTACCTTGTGGCTAATAGTCACTGATGGACCTCTGCTCCATATGTTTATCTAGTTCCCTCTTGAAGCTGTCCATGCTTCAAGCTGTCCATGCCGCCACCACCTTCTGTGGCAGTGAATTCCATGTGCTAATCACTCTTTGGGTGAAGAAGTACTTCCTTTTATCTGTTCTAACCCGACCGCTCAGCAATTTCATGGAGTGCCCACGAGTTCTTGTATTGTGAGAAAGGGAGAAAAGTACTTCTTTCTTTACCTTCTCTATCCCATGCATAATCTTATAAACCTCAATCATGTCACCCCTCAGCTATCGTTTCTCCAAGCTAA